AGTCACCATTATTTATTTGTTAATAAGAAAGAAAAGGTGCCAACGATTAGGCTTGAGATATCACACATCATCAGTGACTGTTGGATGCATCCTGATTTTAGAAATGTTAGAATGTGGAAAAATATGTATCTTAGAATTGATTATGTATTTTTTTTTTTTTTTTTAGCTAAAATCTGTGCAGGGCAAAAAAAATGAAACTATACAAATAAGCACACAGTGAAAAGTCAGTCAGAATGAGTTTTTTCTGGCAGCTTGCCCATAGGGGTATCTGAACCCTTGACCTTGGTGTGGTCAGCACCACGCTCTAATCAAGTAAGCTAACTCTCCAGCCCCAGAATTAGTTTTTAAAAAGGAAATCAGAGCGGGGAGAGGGAGGAGGGAGGGAGGCGGGGAGAGGGAGGAGGTTAGTTTTTAAAAAGGAAATCAGAGCGGGGAGAGGGAGGAGGGAGGGAGGTTTCGGTGATAGGTCATAATAATCAACCACATTGTATATTGACAAAATAAAAAAAATAAATAAATAAAAATAAAAAAAATACAAAGGAAATCAGGTTTTATTACCCCCCCTGATTAAAACCTCCTACTGGTAGAACTCACATGGCTTATCAGGCCTCTGTGTGTTTCCTGATTTTATTTTCAAGCACAGTGACTATGATCTGGCTGCAGGGACCTCCTGCTGTCCCCTGAATGTGCCTGTGTTTCCTGATTTTATTTTCAAGCACAGTGACTATGATCTGGCTGCAGGGACCTCCTGCTGAATGTGCCCTGTGCCTATGTGCTCTCTCCTTCATGCCTTTCCACTTCTTGTCCCCTTGGCCTGGATCTCTCCTGCCCTCTTTGACAGGCTCCTTCTTATCACCTAGCTCTCAGCTCAGCTGCCACCTTCTCAGAGAGTCCCTCCCTGACCACCAGGCAGAAGACCAACCCCCTCTCCCTGCTGCCTTTTGTCACACTCTTCTCCCATCACCCTCTTTTATTTTTTTGATCTTTGGGCCTGAAAGAGCACTTTGCAGTCCTTGATAATAATTATTAGTCTGTCATTGAAGATATCATGAATGGGATCGATGGGATTCACTCAGATCAACACTTCTTGAAATGCTGTCCTAGTGGTGATGGAAGAGTTCATTAGTTGTATGATACCCAGCACTGTGGATTCACTGTGTGTGTGTGTGTTTATTTAACTACTGTGTCACATTGCATAAATCTTCAATTTTCTCACACTTTCTCCAGGTTAAGATAACAAGGTATACGAGCTTAATGAGGCAGACAGTTGAAGGCTGTGTCAGTTAGCTTCTTCTCTACAACAAACCACTGCAAAACATGTGGCTTAGAGCAACAGCTGTCTATTTAGCTCGCAATTTTGTGGCTCAGCAATTTGGGTTGGGTTCATTAGGGTGGAACTTGTGAACTGGGCTCACTCACTCACCTGCCTGGATTTAATCATTTGTGCTCCTGTCTTCATAGAAGACCTTTACTGTGTACCAGGCATTGAGCTAGGCCAGGAGGTCCCCACCTGTCCTGGTTCACAGTGCCCTAGTGTCTCAGTAATTTGTTCACAGTGCCCCTAGGCCAAAAACATACTCAACAGTTCTGTTTATTAGTTAGTTGGGTTTAATCATCTTAAGTATTTATGTGCTAACAACTCATTAATTTGAAAAATAATACACATCAATTGAAAGAACAAATACAACTTTTTTTTATTCTTCAACAACTACAGTTACTTACTGATGAGATGTGTGCCCCTGTTGGGCACTGCATGACTTCACCTTGGAATTGAATTGGAAACCACACCTCATACCACATTGAAGTTTGCACAGTACTTACTTTGCACAGTACTTACTTTTCAGTCACAGCCATGTCTGAAAACTTATCTTTGCAAAGATATGATGTCATTAAAAGGAATGAAGAACAATCTAATGTTAAAATTGATGGCCTTGAACTAGTAGTTTGCTTAGGTCTTATTGATGTTGAGTATATTTGTTTCTCTCAAAAACTTAAAATATCCCGCCCTGCCCCTGTGAGTTCACTGCACCACCCCAAGACACTGCAGTACACAGTCTGGTAACCATGGAGCTCATCGCTTTAACATTGCCTTAATCCTGACCATAATCATATGAAGTTGACATTGTCTCCATTTTATGATTAAAAGACAGGTAGTCTCCAGTGGTTATGTAGCTTGCCCAGAGTCACGTGATTAGGAAGTGACAGAGTTGAACTTGATATCAGGGCTGTTTGAGACCAAAGCCCATGCTGCTGCTAATTCACTCCCAAGAGAGTTTTTATCTTGGAGACTATGTCCTGGATGAAAGCCACAGTGTGTTAAGTTTCTCCTATCAGAGAATAATTAGGACTATTTAAGGGTTTTTTACCAATTTAATAAAGGCTAATGACCTTTGAATTTTTGTGTGTAACTTTAATGCAGGGTTTTTCAGCCTCAACACTATTGACGTCTGGGGCTGGATAATTCTGTTCTGGTGGGTTCTCCTGTACATGACAGGCTAATGACCTTTGAATTTTTGTGTGTAACTTTAATGCAGGGTTTTTCAGCCTCAACACTGTTGACGTCTGGGGCTGGATAATTCTGTTCTGGTGCGTTCTCCTGTACATGGTGTTTAGCAGTGTCCCTGGCCTCTACCCACTAGATGCCAGGAGTACCCCCCAGGTGTGACAACCAAAAATGTCTCCAGACATTGCCAAAGTTCCCTAGTGGCAAGGTTGTCTTGGTTGAGAACTATAGCTTTAATTTGATAATGACCAAGGCTGAGTAATTAAGATTTTCATAACTGTCTTTTCCTTCTGACATGTATAAATTGGTTCTTATTTTTTAAACCATATTATGGTGTTATATTTTCAGGGCTTCTTCTCCCTCTTAAATCCTCTTAGAAATCAATCCTCTAAAGAAGTATTGATCACAGAAAGAACTACTAGTAGCAATACAGAGGTTTTAAATCTATGTAAATTGACTTTCCAGAATTGGGTGAGCATGTTCTGTTGCTTTAGAAAGTTCTTCTATAAGTATCACACAAAATGCTTTCAATCCCCTTCCATTGTTCACTTATGAAATAGAATATAGAAAAAAAAAAGATTGTGGGTTTCATTTTGGTGAGTAAGTTATTTTTCCCACCAACTCTCAGAAACATTCTCAACCAGAACTTTCCTGTTGCTCCCATGGTTCCTTGCCAGTGCTGGGTTTTATAAAAATGGCATATTTTCCCAGAATAGTGAAACTCCTTTGAAACTTGCTTTGAGCCCGTGTCCTTCACAAGTACTTTCTGTTACCTGCAGAATGATGGTAGGGCATCCTTCAAGAACAATTAACGAACCTGCTGTTTTAAGTAGCCCCTGACTTAAGAGCAGCAACTGAATTGTGATGGTGGTGTTAGTCACCAAATTCTATCATTTAAGGGACCTCAAGGCCGTCTTGTCCAGTGCTTCCTGTGTGGTATGCCATCATGCCATGGCATACGGCTGGGCCACTGTTGGTGGCAGGTGAGCCCCAAGTCACTGACTCCCTCCAACCCTGCTGTGCTTTGTGCTCAGTTTGTAAGAGTAATCGTGATGATGTGCAGATGCTGCTTTTCATGCTAACTTTAGATCCTCATCAGAGTGAGATACGCCTCCCCTCAGCTACATGGTACTGGGGAACCACATGCTTCAAGATTCCGGTGTGTGTGTTTGTTTTCTTTTTGATTTTTTTTTTTGGGGGGGGGGTCAAGGAAAAGATCCAGACATGCTTGTTATTACTGTAGTTGATATTTGCAAGAAGACACACAGGCATTTGGCAATTGTTTTCATAGTCGTTTTCTGACTTGTGCCTTGTGGCCCCCGGGGGCAGACTTTGGGCTCCCAGCCTGCCCTTTCTTTCTTTCCTCATGTCTCAGAGGCTCCTAAGAGTATTTATTCTGGCTCATGGTGTGTGGACACATGTATTTGAATCAGCCAAATGGGGTTATCAAGTTAATAAGGGAGAACTTAGTTACATGTTATAATTTAGCCTTTTCAGCATTTTTTGCTGAGTGTCCTCAGAGCTGAAAGAACCTAAATTATTAGCAAGATGCTAATTATATGCCAATTGCTAAGTTGTATGCAAGATGGCGTTTGGATGGTTCAGCTCCTTTGAAGCTGAATGATTTGTACCCTTGAGGAAGCTGAGCAAATAATGCCTGGGGTATACAACCAAGCAAATTTTCTTTTTTTTTTTTTTTTTTTAAAAGGTTTTTATTAAACTTTTAATTGTGACTAGATTGATGAATCTCCATGTACCCATCACTTAACTATTGCCAATCTCATTTCATTTGTACTAAGTCATAATTTCATTGGCTCTGAAAGTGTAGTCCCCAGAGTAACATCTGGGATGTTAACAATGCAAGTCCTACTATTGAAAGGTCTTACTGAATCAGAAACTCAGGGGGTGGAGCCTCTAAGTCTGTGTTTTAACAGCCAGCTGGGTGATTCTGATGACTTCCAGAGCTTAAGAAGCACCATATACAGTATGCTATTCCATCCCACCTCCGCTGGAATAGTTTAAAGCAAATGTCATCATTTTATTTGTAAATTCATTAATATATGAACTATTTTCTTTTGAATATATCACAAATTGGCACAATATTTAGAGAGCAGCCTGACAGTGGGTACCAGTATTTACCAAAAAAGAAATTTTTTTTGGTGGCTGGCCAGTATTGGAATCCAAACCCTTGACCTTTGTGTTATCAGCACATGCTCTAACTAAATAAGGTAACTGTCCAGACCTGGGTACCAATATTTATATAGGCTTAACCTTTGATTGCTTAATTCTGCTCATAATAATCTACTTTAAAGAAATCATTAGACAGGTACTTCATGATGTATATACAAAGATGCTCACTGCAGTGCCTAACATGGAGAAAACATGGAAATACCACATGTGCAACAGTTAGGGGTTGGCTAAATAAGTTTATCTATTCAGTGAAATGCTTTGAAATTATTACAGAGAATGATGTCCCTGATGCTATTGTTAAGTAGGAAAAGCAGTTTTCAAAACAGATATTGGGTGGTTCCATGTTCTTTTCTCTCTCCAGGATGTATGTATGTGTGCATGATGAGAAACAGAATATGTTTTTGTTGTGTATAAGAACTTAAGCACATAGGAAAAAAGGTGGGAATGTTGTACACCAAGCACTGATAGTTATCTTTGCAAAATGTAATTTTCACCCTCATGTGATTTTTTTTTTTTAAATAATGAACTGTATTTTTATAGTGGGGAGAAACAAGGTTACCTTAATTTTGAAAAAAGCCACATCCATCGAAATTGCAATCTGTTCTTGACTAATATCTGTTGAAATTATAATCTCTGCTTGCATTTGTAGATGGGCACGTATTGAATTCCAAGAGATATGCTATTATTGGAGCAGATCTCCGAGACCTATCTGAGCTGGAAGAGAAACTAAAGAAATGTAACATGAATACACAGTGAGATTTTTTTTTTAACCTCTTACACCTTTATGATTTCATGCTAATTATGGGATAAAGCCAGATGGAAATGCAGCATGATACCCATGTCCCAATTTTTGTTCTGTAAGTTTGACCATTTCATTGCTACTTAGAATAGTTTTCTGAAATTTTAAGGAGCTCTATTTCTCAAGTCTGTTTCCACGTCAGAATCACCTGTATTACTTTTTAAAACTGCTAGTGCCTAATATCATTAGCAAAGTTTTAGGGAAGGTAATTGTATGGATAGAAACATAACATGTAAGGAAAGGATTAACATCTAAAACTGTTAATTAATGACTGTTCTATAGAAAAAAAATGTTCCATAGAAATATGGGCTAGAGATAAATGACCATGTGGCTCAAAGAAGAAACGGAATATCACATGAAAAGGGTATTGAACCTCAGTAGTAATCAGATGAAATTCTGTTTTATTCCCACCAAGTTGGCAAGAATGTAAAAGTTGACAATATCAAATGTTGACAAGGACATTGGGGCTAGGGAATGACCATACACCACTGTGGAAGTGAACTTGGCACGACTGTTGTGAGGAATAATCTGAAAGTCTCTAGTAAAATTGTCTGTTTACCGTGCATAGCAGTTCCACTTCCCCCCAGAAATTCTTGCATGTATGCACAAGGAGGAGTTTTATTGCAGCCATTGTTTTTAGTAGCAGAAAATTGGAGACATCTTAAATGTCCATCAGGAGGAGAACGGATGAATAAAATGTAAAATGCATGACCTAGATCGATGTGGAGAAAGCTCGAAAACAATGTTGAGGAAAAAAATCAAGTTGCAGAATAATACCAAATGTGTAAAATCCAACCCCTAGAATATGGTAATTTTATGATTATATACATACATCACAGAAGTGTTTTTAAAATGGACGCTAAGGGTTCACCCCAAGTACTTGAGAGTAGACACCTGTGAGGAGAAGAGGAGGGGAGTGAGATGTGTGGTTTTAGCATGATGATGCTGGTCAAGATAAGACTGGAGGTAAGAGGCAGTGGGAGGTATAGACATGTCCACACAGGTGGAGATGACATTTTCAAGAAGATATGAGGTGAGTATCACAAGCTGGACTTCGAGGGGAAGGTTATTTTAAAGTGTAAATTGAAAGCAAAAAATCAATGGCAAAAGATGAAAGAAATTAGCACCTAGGGAGATCCTTGCTAGCACAAGGTCCTAGAGGAGAGCCAGGAAGCTGTGGAGCCTGGACTGAGGTTAACTATCCTTGGAGGGGAGGGAGGACCCCATTCTTCTGAGCAGGGAGGAGCGGGGACAAGTACAGATGCAGGTACAGGTGAGCTCTGGGAGGTGGTGGTCTTTCTCACTCTCATTTATGTGGATATTGCTGTTGTCTCTACATGTTGAGGTACCTGTTGACCAGCTTAACCTGAAGCACCAGCCGGGTTGTCATGGTTAGGACTTAGCTACCCACCTGCCCAGTGTTAGCGATGGCTCTAATGGACCCAGTGCTGTCACTCCAGCTTTGTGTGCTGAGTCTTTGTCTCGCTGAGTGTTCAGATAGCAAGGTCAGTAAACTGTAAACTGAGTATTTATGACTCTTTGGAGATCTCCTTATACAGTTCACAGATTGTCCTGTGTGGCATGTTCTTCTTTTAGCAGAGGGAAGTCTTGATATTCAAGGGCATGGTTTTCTGGGGTGCATATTTTACATCAGGTGGTACTGAGTGAAGGTCCGTAGTAGATTGGTTGAAGCCGATACACACGGGTAAGCTTGGCACTCTCTCAGTATCAGGAGAGTGCGAGTCTTGGAATCTTGTCCTGAGCTTGACTTTGACCTTTCCTACTTACTAGTTACTTAATAGGGGCAGTTGGGTTTTTTTGTTTTGTTTTGTTTTTTTTAATTTGTTTGGGTTTTTTTTAAGCCTTGGTTTACTCATTTGTGAACTGGGATAAAAACTACCTCATAAGACAGTTTTGAAGATTAACTAAAGGAATGCATGTGAAAACAGTT